ACACAATGGAAGCCAGCGCTAGTTGTTGAAAAACACAATACGCCAAGATCGTATATAGTTGAAAGCGATGGTAGATACTACAGGATGAATCGTAGAGATTTGATTGAACAGGAAGGATGTCAAAATACTCAAGACCGGCGAATAAAACCAAATAGCACAAGACAGAACCGACTTCGCTACCCGAAACGTAACAGAAAACCTGTTACAAAACTTGATCTGTGATTATATAAAAGAGGGCAGAATAATTCCTGTATAATCACTGTGCCAGGATAGTCTACTTCTGACCACAAAAGTTAATGAACATTCATTAACAGAATGTAGTTATTATTAGTTTGTTGTAGAATTGTTGTATCAAATGAAAGAGAATGTATTACCTGTTGAGGAAACTAAAGTGCTAAAAAGAAATATTAGATAAATAGATTCCTTAAAAAAAAAAAATAAATAAATAAATAAAAATAAAAAAGGGAGATGTAATGAAGGTACTTAAGATTATGAGTGAGCCCTCTATTGTATGATACATAGAGTAAGGACACATGAGCCTTAAGGCAGTTGATAACAAGATACCAATAAAGGAACATACAAGAAAGTCAGAATAGCCTATTGTATATTATTGTCTACAACATATCATTACAGTGAGTTCGCACGCAGCCTTATCCAGCTGACGGTAAAGTTAGTAGGTTTCTACTACTAGCCTAGCCTAGACTTGTCATGCCATGCCGACTTTGTCACATTAATTGCACTAGTGAATTTTTTTCATAATAATAGACCTAGGCCCCTAGGCCTACTAATAATAGTAGGCACTAATGCACTTTCGCACCTAACTATTAATTCTTAATATTTTTACTTGAATTTTCTTATCACAGTCACAAAACATAATTATAAAACATTTTTACATGATTCAAGCACTCATAAAGTACATTTTTTTCAACAAAAAGATACCTTTATAAATATAGGTTGATACAGGGTTTCCGCGCTTGCTAGCACGACGAGCTGTACTTTTTTGCAATCAAGTAAGAAATTGTCAGAATGTCCGAGTCAATTCTTAAATTTTGAAACCATTAAAGGCCAGTCTTATAATTTTAATTGGAATTTTCTCATGAAACATCCGACAACAAAATGTGGCATCATGCAGTACCATCTTTTTTAACTTTCTTGTCGTAATCGAGGTTAATCGAACCGACATTTATCATTGGCTTTAATAGTTTTTTTTTTCTGGATTTAGGCCTAAGCCCTATTTTTCGATCTGTGTACGCAATTTGGATCATTACTAATTTTTGAAGTAATTATTGTATGTGTGAATTTCATGTAAACACAAATAGTCAAACAGCACCATAAATTATAAAGAATGACATACAATACTGCAAATAGATAAGTTTTCATAAACGTTTAATAAAAAAAACTTCACGCTGCAAACTCAGACATTCTGGCAATTTCTTACTGATTGTAAAATGGCAGCCGCTCGTCGTGCTAGCGAACACAGATTCGCTGTACTTATTTGTGGGCTTATTTGTTGAAAAAGGTACTTTGTGAGTGGTTAAATCAGGTGAAATGTTTGTTAATTATACGTTGTAACTGTGAGAAGAACATTGAGGTAAAAAAAAAAAAAGAATTAAAAGTTAGGTGCGAAAGTGAATTAGCGCCTAATAGTATACAATAGGCCTAGTTATAGGCCTGGTCCTGAAACATCCCGTGTGTAATATTAAATGATACACAGAGGCTATAGTTAGCACTCAACTACAGTGTGTTGATTGTAGTATGCAATCTGGAGAGTGAGCCCTCTGGGTCGAGCAGAGGCAGATAAATAAAGATGGCGAGTAAGACCATACTGAAATAAAACTCAATAGAGTCCGTTGTATAATGTTCTGCTGCATATAACAACTCATCACATGGTGTCAGGAGAAACTTGGTTGCCTCCGGCTGAGTTACAACCCATTAATGAAAATTGTGCGTCCTTGTGAAGCTAGCCTAAGAGCGACCAACGCTAGGCCCTCGCTCCGACAGTGAAGATTTAGACTGCTTGCCGTACAGGTATTTTATTTTATAGTGGCGTGTGTTGGTGAATGGTTCGCCCTGTTACACGGTTCAGTCGATCTCGCGCTGGGCTGTGTTGCAAAGTAGCTAACACATCGTTGCTGTTATACGGTTCCTACCTCAAGGGTCCGGCACTAGCACGAGCTTATAAAACACAAAAACAAAAATGGATAGGGACAGGAAGCCATACATGAACTGGAATAGTCCCGATCTGGCGAAGGAGTTTAAACGGTTTAAGCAACATTGCGTGTTTATGTTCAATGGTCCCCTTAGCGACAAGTCGGAGGTTCAGAAGGTCAACTACCTTATGACATTTATAGGGGATAGAGGAAGAGAAATCTACCACACCTTCCAATGGGAACCGGCAAAAGAAGCTACCGAAAATAGCCCAGCCGTGCCAGCCGAGAATGAGCTGCTTGAGGGTGTGTATAAGAAATTTGAAAGGTATGTCGCCCCAAAGCGCAACGAAATAAAAGCCACAGTGGAATTCAATAGCAGATTCCAAAATGGGGAGGAAAGTTTTGATAACTTTGTCACCGACCTTAGGGTTTTGGTTGCTTACTGCAACTATACAGACATGCAACGCATGCTGCGTGATGCAATAGTGATGAGGGCTAAAGACCCGAAAGTACAAGAAAAATGTTTAGAGGAAGGGGATGACCTCACCCTAGACAAAGCAATAAAAATAGGGCAGAATGTAGAGATGTCTAAGAAAAGCTTGAGCGCCATAAGTGCACAAACAGCAATTGATGTACAAGTAGTGAAGAAAAAAACACCGCCTCGGCAAAAATCACAAATAACCTGTAAGCGATGCGGTAAACTACATGCCATGCGGGCATGTCCGGCATGGGGGACAACTTGCTCCCGGTGTAAAGGGAAAAACCATTGGGCAAAGTTTTGTCGAAGTAAATCAACAGTAGATGAGATCGTTGAAGCAGACACTGATACCGATGATGAATATTTTGTAGATGTTGTGGGTCTCCAGAAACAAGAAACAAACAACTGGATGCTCAACCTTCAGGTACAAAATAGAACTGTTAGGTTCAAGTTAGATTCAGGGGCACAGTGTAATATATTGCCCAAATGTGTTTATGACAAACTAGGCGCAGATCTGACAAAGTCAAATGCCAGACTTGTCTCCTATTCCGGGAACGGTATGAAGCCTATTGGCAAGTGCATTATAGTGTGTGAATATAAAGGCGTATATCATGACATTGAGTTTCAGGTGTTGCCAGAAAAAGTGCAGCCTATAATTGGATTACCAACATGCGAGAGATTGAACCTTATTAAGAGAATATAT